AAATTATGCCAGCGTCGGTACTTTAAATCTTATTTTCTAATGAAAACATTGTATTGACAGCAAGTCAAACAGAACGAAAACTGCGGAGAAAGTGACGGTTAGAAAAAATAATAAAACCAGGTAAAATCTCATAAAAAAGCATTGAAGGAAAAGCAAGAAAAAATAAAGGAAATAAAATGAGGAAAAGAATAATTAAGAAAGAAAGAAAGGAGAGAATGCCATAAGGAAAGTGAAAGAAAATTAAGTGAGAGAAACATAAATAAAGAAATTAAGGGGAAATTAGAAAGAAAGTTAAAAACAAAGAAGTAAAAGATATAAAAGTGATGACTGAAAAACAAGCAAACAAAATATTTAGTAAAAATGAACAAAAAAAAAAAAAAGGAAATACTGTAAAAAGAAGGGAAAATAGAAAAAACAACAGAAGAAAGAAAAAAAAACCTAAAAATGAAGAAAGGAAGAAATGGCAATGCATACACAAAACATTAAAAAAAACTTTAAAAAAATGAAGTGCGTATATATTGTAGAAGTTTCAAAATATGTCGATAAAATTATTAAAGTGACCTGATTTGAATCTGGAATTGATTATGAGAGTACTAGAAAATTTTCAAAATCTGAAGAGTAATTTCTCAAAATGGAAAAGCACAAGAAGCCATGTCAGTTTTCTGGAATTCTTTTAAAGTATAAGTTATTGAATTTATTAATATTTTAGAAATTGTAGAAAAATGACAAACTTTAGTAAAGAAACAACTAAGGGAAATCCTAATTTCCGTAAATCCACATTTTTCAATGTCTATTTCTGTTAAAAATGACGGTCGCAACCGATTATTGCATTTTAAAAAAATAAATTCCCGATAAAAAATTAGCTGGCAATTCAATAAATTAAATTCTAGGACGATGATGTTTAATTATCTAATTTATTATTTTGTCCACTGTACTTTGAAACGCCAGACTTTTACATTTTTATTCTAAAGGGAATAAAAATAAAATCAAATATGATTAAAATTAATAAAGAAACAATATTCCGTATTTGATAACAAATGCAAACTTAAAAAAATAAGACACTGCTAAAAACCAATGAAATCTCAACAAGGAAAATCATTCAACAGCATTTTTGGCTTCATTCCTGCCACAACTTTGATAAAAATATTGTTCTTTATTATGCAGACGTGCTAACCGCCTCAGTGACGCCATTGTGTCCACGTAGAAAACGAAGAAAGATATTGGAAAGAAAGAATACAAAAAAAAACAAACAAAAAAAAAAAAAAAAAAAAAAAAAAACAACAAAGTTGTTAACGGCGAGCAAACACCTTTCGCAGAGGAAGCCTGCTACTAAGTCCTTTGAGAATTATTTTCTATGGATTAAAAAGACGTCAGATTTTTGTTTTTGCATTATGCATTTTACTGGTGAATAGTTTTGTGATCGAGAATTAACATGACGACGTTCAAATGTTTCTATTATTTTTTAAAACTTTAAGCTGTAGTTTATTCACAATGTTTACCTGTCATTTATTCGTTCAAAAATGGCAACCAACTTAACACATACACTCGCATAAAACTCCCACCACAAATAAAAATAAACAAGAAATAAACGATTTTGACTTCGTTGAATCTTAATCATAGTCCACTCCGATCATTTCGACAGTCTCCTTTCGCTGAATCCATACGAAAGTGATAGTAGTTTTATATATATATATATATATATATATATTGAGAGAGAGAGAGAGAGAGAGAGAGAGAGAGAGAGAGAGAGAGAGAGAGAGAGGAGGAGAGAGAGAGAGCTGAAGATTATTCGTAAAGTAGTGCTTCCTATTTCCATGGAAACTACAAAAGATAACAATTTGGATAGTATTTTCACCTGCGATGTATTTTCACCTGCGATAAACAAGAGCCTGGAATATGGTTTGTAGCCGTTGCTGAAACCCATGACCAAAGACTTAACTGTGTTTATAGAGGAATTGTTTGACACAGCTCTGCATTTTCATGTCAGGTTGACGATCAGCTGTTACCAGAATCAAGACAAAAATATCTTACTTATACCAAAATGTAATATAGGTGCAGTATAACAATAATAACCGCAGACATTATGGAACACAAAGACGTCAGTTTTAGTTTACTACGAATTAACAGAAAAAAAGAAAACCATTAACTCGATTGAAAATTAGTATCCAAAGAAGAGCTGAGTAAAAATAGTATCAGATATTATAATTAGATTTATAATTAGATTTATAATTAGATTTACACATAGAAATCGTAGCTGGAATTGTGAACTTGATTACGATGTGAATGACTGAGAGCATAGGTTTTATAAGCACATAGATATAGGTAGAATCAAAGAAGTAGCTTTTCAGTTGGTATTAAAAAACTCTCAACGTTTTCAATAAACATCTTTGTACATTTGCGATATGCAGTCATGGATGCCACATTACTGTAGTGAAAACAACGATGATGATATTCAAGATATAATGCTAATGATGTTAATGGTTATGGTTGTTAAGATTCGATAGCAAACTTATCAAGATGACAATGATAACAGAGATAATATCCACTGAAATGGTAATGTAAAAGAGATTGTTACTAAGTACAAGGCGAAATACTTTAAAAATCTAAGTTTTATTCCTTCTAAACGCCCTCTGTTATACTAATGATAACAATATGTTTTGCATTAGCAATTATTTGCCTGCTTTTATAAAATGCATTTGAATATTAATGCGTTTACATCAATTGAAGAACTGGGTGGTATTATAGAAAGAATATTTTTAAAGTAGAAGTTTTTACGGATTAGAAAGGAACCCCATTTAAAATTTGAATCATCACTTTTACAAAGATATTTTACAGTGAGAGCCATCCTTTACAAGGCCCGAGGACCATTTGAGGTGGACGGTTATGTTAGGAGGCTATTTGTGTGTATAGGTGAGGGAGATAACGATTAACCCTAGCCTTGAATAGGTTAAGATTGTAGTGATCGGGGAAAAATCCTCTTGGGAGTCGATTCCACAGGGCAGTGGTTCGCGAGAAGCTGCTGCTTGAGTTCTCACCGATTGAATATGGAGTGAAATTGAGTTCGTGCCATGAAAGTTTGCCTTGGCGGAAATAGGGAATGTAATTCATCCAAACACTTTCTATGGAAGTAGCAATAGAAAAACGAGAGACTTGCCACATCCCACCTGTGGGAAAAGGGTTGAAGAGTGGAGAATAATTCGTCACCCACAAGGGCTCGTAGACGCTTTTGAACTTTAGTGAGAGTGAGGTCTTGGCATCTCTCGCACAGATATGACAACAGTACTTTTTGGTTTGATCTGGCTCTTGTAAAAGTAGAGAATATCATGAAGAGTCAGATACTTACTGAAGCGGTACAGGGAGCCGATCATTTTGCCTATACTCTTAGTAACGGATCGTATGTACGAGTTACACTTAAGGTTGGGTGTGAGTTTGAGGCAGTCTTTCAAGGCAAGGTACTTCCCGGGAGGAACTCCGTTCATCTTTATTGTTGGTAGTTCTAGGTCAGATTGACGATAATGGAAGGTAATTAGCTTGTATATAACCAGCCAGTTTCTACCCCATTGGGTAGTTTGAACAAGATCGGAAGAGATATCAGTCGCCAATCTCTGGCCATCGAGATTTGGAGGTGCGACCGTATATAGTCGTATCGTTGGCATAGATGTCTACAGATGATATGATTATATACTTAAGCAGATCATTTATATAGATCAAAAAGAGGGTTTGTCCAAAGAGTGACCCCTATGGGACGCCTACGCTGACTATTAGGGCACCGGGGGACTGGCCATTAATAACTGCCTTCCTTTAGGAAGGATTTTATGATCGAGAAGGCCCTTCCGGTGATTTCATAATTGGAGAGCTTGTGTAGTAAACCTTTATGCCACACCTTGTCGAAGGCCTTTGGGATATCTAATGTTATGATCCTCGAGGTGTGTTTGTTGTCACTGATTCTGAGTGATGGTAGTTAATCGGAAGTGGATCGGGCCGACCGAAACACACTGCTTGTCGCTGAAGAAGTTGTTCTTTTCTAGATGCTCGACGACCTTATTGATTATGGTTTCAAAAAGCTTACTGATGATACTGAGTAGATTGATAGATGACTGTATATTGTATCGTCTGTGTGTCATGCGTTTATGGCTATGAATCACGTTCGTCTATACCATTTTTATCGGGTCCTGGAAAGAGAAAAAGAAATTTCCTATGAATTGTGCTTTTGTAGACACTTGTAGAATCGGTTAACCGAAGCGTGCTGAGAGAAAAATTTGTGATATCAATGAGTCTCCTGAGAATTATAGACAATATCAAATAATAGTCATCACTATTATTCCTTCGTAATGTAGCAAAAATCATGATTGTCTCTCACAACATTAAATGTTACATTCTTAGCCTTAAATGAATTAAATTAGTTTCCGACAATGACAATTGCAGTTAAGTGTGATAAATTAAAATAATTTTATATGGACTTTAAAACCCACATAAAATTATTTTAATTTATCATGACTTAAAAGTATATATATAAATATTATATTTTAAAAGTATATTTAAATATATACAAAGATGTATAAAACATAAAAAAGCAAGGATATGAAAAGATATTGCGCAAAGTAAAGTGACTGATCGAAAATTATATAGCAACAAAAAAAGAATATCAAGAAAGAACTGGTGGTTTATTGCTTCTTTGCTCTTCATAGCCAATCGAGGACAAAAACATAAACATAGCTATTAAAAAAAGTTTCCTTTTGGTTTGTTTATTCTCGCGATGCCGATGTTTTCTAAGTGCAAGATTGACTATACTGTGAATAAAAAAAAATCTGTTAGCTAGAAGGTGATCAAAGTTCTAACGGCAGATTATTGGAGGCAAAGATAACATATCTCATCCTCTCGTCACACTCTGCGTTTATTTGATGCTTATTTGATATTTGGCATTACTACAAAACAGTAAAAATGCATTCAATATTTTTCTTTTTGAACATGCTTCATTAAGTTACGTTTTCTCAATATATATGGTCAAGAAGGTTGTCTTTCTTCCACCCATAACTAAATATTTTATTTCTGTGCAAAAACTTCTCTCTTTCTTTCTTTCGTTTTTTCTTTCTATCATTCTTTCTTTTTTCTTTCTTTCTTTCTTTCTTTTCTTCTTTCGTTTCTTTCTTTCTTTCGTTTCCTCTTTTTTTTCTTCTTTCATTCGTTTCGTTTCTTTCATTTCGTTTCTTTCTTTCTTTTTTCATATAGTCTTCTATTAATTTCACAATCGCATTGTTTTTAAATTTCTCAACGTTTCTCCTTTTCAATCATTTATTTCTTAGTGCTTTTTTTCTTTCACGTCTCCTATTTTCTCACTTTCATTCTCAATGTTCGACATAACTTATTTTGTTCACCTCCCATATTTGTTCGGGCTTTAATTTTCTATCTTTTCTTTCACCCACGTTTTCCTTTGTTGTATTTTTACATTATTTTTTTCTTTTCAAATCCGTTCTACATAATTCTTCCTTCAGTTCATCAGCGTTATACAACTTTTCATTCACTTTGACACCACAATCATCATTTCTCTTCTTCTTCTTCTTCTTCTTCTTCTTTCATTTTACTTTTTGTTGTTCTCACACTTTTAAAAAAACAAACACTCTTTATTCTCCCTTTTTTTTTTTACTCGTCCATTTTTCTTGTTGTCCATCTTCACAACTTTTTGGTTTCTTCATTCACTTCACACACCGCTGCATTTCTCCACATCATTTCCGAGTTCCTTTTGGCTTTCTACTCTACTTCTTATCCCATCATTTTCTTCCGCTTTAATGCAAAAATAGTCCGTCATTCGAAAAGTAAAATTCCAGTTTCCGGCATCGTTGCAAAAATCGACAGGATTGTCTTTCAGTTTGCTTATCTCATATCAGGAATACTTTTAGCAGAGGTTTGCACTATAGACGTTGAGCAGCCTTTATTCTGATTGCATCAAAAAGATGGTAAATATGTTAATTCTCACGGGGCTATCTATTAATATGAATATAGGGATAATTCTTCCACCTCCCATGTCGAAAACCTCGTAGTCTTATTTCGTAGAATTATTTCCAAAAGTAGCACAACAAAACAATATATATATATATATATATATATATATATATATATATATATATATGTATGTATGTATGTATGTATGCGTGTATGTATGCGTGCGTGCGTGTGTGTGTGTGCAGCTGAATATTAATTTACATATGGACAACACAGTTTACAGATTCAATTACTATACATAAAAACAATACTTGCCTTAGGTCTGGCAAAGGGTAAAATAGGAAGGAAAATTGTGTTGTAACAGGGCGACTACAATGTAAATTTAAAAGTTTATGCAAATTATTAACATCGTTCCTTAACCTTTGTCCAGTAGCTTATTTCCTTTGTTCCATTTAATCCTTATTTAAAAAAAGAAACTATTATGTAAATTTTTGTAACTTTGTATAATATTTATGCATTACACCCTAATTTTTATTCGGTAAAAATTTAATTGCTAATCATGCATTACTTTTTAAGTAATGCACATATTTATGTCTTTGCTGTTTCCGTTCCTTATGTTATGGCCGCTACTGTATTACAGAGACTTCTCCATCGCCTATGAACTAGCCGGGATCATAGAAGAACTCAACAGCGTCCCTGAAGCTACAGAACACCAGGCGAACCTAGACTTTTTCGTCACATCCAGAAAAATACTTAGCAAAAATGTATTACTTACCTCGGTACGTCAGACCATTTTCTAGTCATTGTCTAAACTGTTGTCAAACCAAAAAACCTGATTTGCTGTTCCATAGCAGCACTTTTTCGCTAAACGAAGGCAGATTAGGACAGCTTTAGATCTTATAGGGGAGAAGCTCCTGTCTCTACCTTCTTCAAGCACGCTTTATCCAAAACTGTTGACCTTCCTCTCTGAATGGATCCTTTCTGGAATGGAGAGATTTATACGAGAAAAATTCTAACAAAAATGAAACAGCCAGCCCTGGTTCACCCTCGAATGCAGTGCAGCCACTAATATCTGTCACAAAGAGCGGTGTTTTTTTGTGTTTTTTTAAAAACTCATACTGTATTGGGAACCACCCGCAATCACTGCAATAAAGTTCTGAAAAATACAAAGTATAGCTATGCACAAGTGCTTTAAGCCAATGTTGAAAACAAACAAATTGGATCCCGTGTGTTCTGGAAGATCTCAAATCAAGTTATGAATAGAGAAGGCAAAACAGCTGTGCCCAATATTATATATCGCCTCGAGGTCAAAGCTTTCTCGATCTTTGCCTCGAATTCAACGATAGATGACAAAAGCCACTCCTTCTCAGCTTCCCACGTCTCACTGAGGACAATCTCAGTAATATTTCCATTAAAGTCCGATAATTCACAAGACTTATTAAACAGCTTGACCCTAAGAAAGCCACTGGCCCAGACAAAATCCCAGTTGTTGTCTTCAAGACAACTCAAACACGAACTATCTCCAATCCTAGCGAAGTTCTTTTAATATCTGCTTAAGAGGAAATCCTTTCTATGCCTGTAGAAAATGCCGAGCGTATGCCAAGTTTACAAGAACGCAGGCGAACGCTCATCCCCATCTCGTCAGTATCGTTAGCAAACTTTTTGAGGCTACAATCAACAAGAAGTTTGTTGAGCACCTAGATATTAACAGCTTCTTGAGCGACAAGCAGTACGGTTTTTGATTAGCTCGACCCATTTATGATGTCCTATCATTACTCACAGAATCATTTAGGCAGTAGAAAGGAAATACACCCATAGAATGAGATTATTTCAAGGTGTAACACAAAAGATTGCAGCTCACGTTCTCTAGATATGGAATCACTGGAAGTCTTCCTAATAATAAGGTTCTTCCTAAGAAGTAAGTTACTGAAGGTAGTTATTAACGGTCAATCTTTCGTTGACCTAGCATTGAACGCAGGCGTCCCCCAGGAGTCACTTCTCAGATAACCTTCTTTTAACTTTACATAAATGATCTGCCTAAGAGTATACTCAGATCATTTGTCAATATCTATGCCGATGATATAACGATGTATGGATGCATCTCCCAAACTCCTGATGACCACTAATTGACAGCTGATCTCATATCCGATCTAGCTCTAACATGGTAACATGGTTTACAAAAATTAGCTGGTTACATACAATGTCCTGAAAACCAAACTAGTTACATTCCATCATTACCAATCGGATCCCAAACTACCATCAGTCACGATAGACTATTGGGCCTTAAACTTACCATAGACCTTCCTTAAATGGAACTCCTACATACTAAAGATGTTGAGAAAATAGTCGGGTCCCTGTACTACTCTAGTAAGTACCTGACTCTTTGTGCTATCTATCTACAAGAGCAAGATTATGTCTAAAATGAAGCATTGCTGTCATATTTGGGCAGGAGCTTCCCAATCATCACTTTCCAGTCTCGATAGTGTCCAAAAGCGTCTACGTGATCTTGTAGGTGACAAATTATTTTCTCTTTCATCTCCTCTCTCACTCTCGGAATGTGGCAAGCGTCTTAATGTTCTATCATTACTTCAATGGAAAATACTGGACAAACAGCATTCCTTAGTTCCACCAGTTCTAAACTTCACGACTAAGACCCGCCATGCAAACCGACCGCATTCCCTCCGTATTCCATTGTTGAGAAGTAAGTTCCACTCGAACAGCTTTCTTCCTGCTAACCACTGTTCTCTGGAATTGACTCCCATAAAGATGTTTCCTCAATCACTACAATCCTAACCTGTTCAAGTATATGGTTAACTGTTATCTTTCCCATCTATCCGCATAAACTCTTCCTCCTTCTCTGTAACCCTCTACCTCGAGTGGCTTCCGGGCCTTTGAACACTATAAAAAAAAAGAAAAAAAAACTTGTCTATTTCATTCAATTTCAACTTTTTATCTTCTTTATTTACTGAATTCAACCATTTTCCGAAAAAATTCAATTATTTTCTCCGTCTCGTTCGCACCTTTCTATGTATTCTCAGCAAAACCCCTTTCCCTCTTTTCTTCACTGTTCTTTTTTTTTCTTTTTATATTAGTTCACTCTTTCTTTTTGTGTTACATTTTCTTTTGTCCTTTGTTCCATTAATCATTTTCTTTCTTCCATTTCTTATTTTTCATTTTTCTTTCCTACTCTTGTTCTCCGATTTATTTAAATGTTTCTGCTTCTATAATATTAAGATATAGATAATATATTATCTATAGTACGTTTTTTGTCCGAGTTCAAAATCTATTTTTATCTCTCGTGATTTCCTTCTTTTGAATCTCTTTTTATTTGGTTCCCCTTTTTTTTCATTTTCCTTCATAAAATTCGTTTTCTCTTTTAATCTTTCTTCCATTCATAATTTTCAAATAATAAACATATGAAAAGTACGAGGAAATAATTGATTCCAGAAATGTTTTGCTTAGATTAGGGATTTTTTTTTCAAACGAACTGGAAAGCTTTTCTTTGCTTTGTTTTCATATTGTTGCTTGCAGTATTGATCTTTTTGGCGGGAAAATGTTGTGTGCATAAGTTGTTTTGTAATTTTCGGGTCAGCATCAAAGTAATTATGTCTGAAATATGAATCGCAATGTTTTTCGTTAGTTATTCAACCATTGAAAGAAAAGAATAAAATATTTTAAGAGAAACGAAGAAAGAACAGGTCAAGAAAAGTGAATATCTTTGTCGTATTGTAAAAACAGAGATGAACACGTGACAATTTGTATTACCAATCGACACTGACGATAGAAAATCGGACGCTGGAGCTGGATATCATAACATGGCTCTGGTGATATATTTAGTGTATTGTTGATGCTAGTACTTAAAGAGGGTTCCTCAATAAGTAACTGGGGCCGATGGAACAGTTCTGATACAGAATGCAATCTAGTAATGTCTCATTATCACTTCTGAAAATGCATGACCTTTGACAGTATTTTCCAGTGGGTTGTTTCGCTGTTATATAACTGATGTCTCTAGAAATAACACTTCCTATGCTACTCGCTAGTACTGAGCTTCAAAGAAATTGACATTGTTCATCGATATAAAAGTGACTGAACCTAAATTTGACAGTCGCAACTAAGGTCAGGTGAGTTCCGAACCAAATTTGGCCAGGTGAGTTCCGAACCAAATTGGGTGGAGCTTGCGTGCCTCTAAACACGGTATCCAAAAATTTTCCTTTCATTAGGGTTTCAGCTCCTATCAATGGCACAGACACATCTATACTTATCTAGAGGAAAATGTCATTTTGAAAAAACTGAGTTTTAAAATCGGATGTTTCATTTTTCTCAGGCACAGACGTATGATGCATCCAACCGGTGGTTCATTTTCAGTCTACCATCATCCCAGTGGTGTGACCAGAGAGTTAACACCAACGACCACACACGTCTAATCTGGAAATAGAGAATGACGCTGTTCTCTTGAAAAATACTTATCAGACTTCCATTTATTTACTTACTAACTTATTTAGTTCACAGATGTGAACAACGAAATTGCCTGTTCTTGGTGACACTCCTTCCGTCGTAGCTATGAAGCGAGAATTTCTTCTTTACCAAAAACATACGAAAGAAAACTCGTGTCAGCTATTCTCAAATGGGAATGGTCGCCAGGGATATTCTTTGGCTCGGTATTAATCGGCATTCTTCTTCAAGATTCAGTCTCCTAATGGATTCCTTCACCAAAACACAGTTTCTTTGAAAAATATATCTTTAATAATAATAATAATAATAATAATAATAATAATAATAATAATAATTTTTAGGGATATTTGCAAGCATTGTTATGGATTATTCAAAGCGGCATTTTGATTGATTTT